TTTAATTTCTTATTTTGTAGTTACTATTTTACAAACTTTATTTTATTTTATTTAATTTTTTTAAGGGCTAGCACCACATCCTGACGGAAAAAATAGGCTAAAAAATATTTTTTTCATGATATTTTGAGCAGTTTTGACTATTTTTCTTTTATTTATTTAAAGTTTATTGTTTTTTTATAAAAGTCCAGCTAGACAACAAACACAATATAAATTCACCTTTCAAAATTTGAGCAGAAGTCATTAAAATTCTGCAAAGCTTCAGCAAAACTTCAAACTTTTTCATCAGCATATTTAGAAAAAATTGTACAGTTTTGTAGCCCATTAAATTGTAGTATAATGAAGTGCGAGTTTCAAGCTGCTGAAAATTCCGTAGAATTTTGGCACTTTTTTTTCTGGCAGTGTCTTCCAAATAAAAGAAAATTGTCGAACATATCGCACAGCATCTTCAAAAGAAGCACAACTCAAAAATCAAATCCGAAAATATAACTGCTTCAGGATGGTACAGGTTCAACGCAATTAATAAAAAACAGGCATAACAGTAATTTTCTAGTTCGAGAATATAATCGTAAAAAAAAAAAATGTTTGCATTAAATGAAGATAAATCCCTACGAAAGGATTTATGCATAAAAATCGACCTAAGTTTTTTTTTGCCCTTTAGGAATGATTTCAAAAAAAAAATGTTTATAACTATAAAATGGCTAAGATATGATGAGTCATCCAATAGCCCCTTCTTCTATTTTCAAAATGTTGTACAAGATTTCTAATTTAACTTAAATTCAACTGGCCTAATTACGTGAAAAAACGTTTGCTCCCACAAATTAATTTTTATTTTCGTTTCTTATCTAACGCAACACACATTCAACTAATAAGCTCGATGGCCTAAATATTTATAACAGAAGAATAAGTATAGCAAGCGATTAAATATGTTTACACACAGAAAATAAACCGAAATAAACAATAAGAATTGAAAGCAAAAACGAACTGAGAAAATACAGTAATACAGTCAGTCAATAAAGTTTAGGTACAGCAAATTTTTTACAATACAACAAAAACCCCAAAAATCAAAAGTTCCAAACCTTGTGCAAAATCAAAGAAAATTCTGCAAAATTTCATTCAAATATTGCACTTTTTATTTACGCTCTCTAGCAAGAAGTTGAGTATGCAGTTTTTTAGCCCATTCAATTTTAGCATAACAAAGTGCAAGTTAGAGGTAGCTAGGATTTACCATTGATTTTTAGCTATTTTTTTTTGTTGAAGGTGTCGCTCATTTTCTCCATATAAAATACTATTTGGTAAAAAATACCCCAAAAATCAATGGTAAGTCCTAGCTGCCTCATACTTGCACTTCATTATACTAAAATTTAATGGCCTAAAAAACTGCATACTCGACTTTTTTCTATAGAGCGTAAACAAAAAGTGCAGAATTGTCTTTAATTTTGCACACGGTTTGGAACTTTAATTTTTGGGGTTTTTGTTGTAGAATTAACCAAATTTAAAAAAAAAAATAGCGAAAAATAAAATATTTAAAAAATAGTTGCCCATATTGTAAAAAATTCGCTGTAAGTACCTAAACTTTATTGACTGACTGTATGTAATAAATAATTGGAAATACAGTCACTCAGGAATCTGCCAGCCAGTTGATCAAAAATATGTATGTTTAAGCCAAAGGTCTTCATGCGAGATTGTGAAATCATGAAGTTGTACAGGTTATAAGCTTTATGGCATATTTACGAGCGGTTGTTTGCTGAAAAAACGACATAACTCAAAGCAACGAACACACGGATAAAAGCGGTTTCAAAATTTGTAGTCCATTGCTATTCATTAAGTATTTAGTTATTATTATAGTTATAATTGTTGCAAAATTTAGCACAAACTATATAAAGCTACTAATCAAGTCTTAATTTGATTCCTCAGATTGGACAAAGGATGATTGTTATGAACTTCTTCCATCAAGCGAGTGATATATGTATCCATGTCTAAAAATAACTACGCTATGTATTTAAAGTTCGAACAAAACTATGAAGTACCTGCAGAACCAACGTGTCGATAAGAGAACGATATAACAGCAAATGGGTGAAAAAGAAAAAGAAAAATGAGTTCAAATTTAGATAAGCACGCCGAAATCGCAGACAAATCGCCATTGAAGGTTTTTGTGTTTGCTGGTTTTATCGGCTAATGCTATCGGCTAAACTTCAACTACAAACATTTCTACAGTTTTGCGCCGCCTCCGAACGGCAAAAGGATTTTATGAGAAGCTTTTTCATGGCAGAAATTATAGTTTAGATCAGGGTACGAAAATAAACTGTACAAAACAATTCCCATTTGCTCATCGATCATCATATCATTTGTGGTTTTGTACAGTTTTGTACATAGTCAGAAACAAATTGTAAGATTCACTGTCATTTTCCCCAACGAGAGACGTTTGCTTTTCGTTTGTGACAATTATACCATAGGGTACGTTTTATATGTATGCAAACGTTTCAATTACGTGAAAAATATTTTTTTCTGTAAATTTTCATATCCAATTCAATTGAAAAAGATGTACTACATACATACATATATTTTTCTCTGCACGATTCATTTCGTTTGTTGTTTCGTCTGTAACTACTAAACTACTGTAGTGTACTATCGCAAAGTGAACTCAGCCGTTTTGTTTTCGTATTGTACCGAACTGTTGAAGTAATAAACGAAACGAAATAGTAACGTACAATATAGTTTATTTTCGTACACTGGTTTAGATGTTGCTCTTAACAGGGTTCGAACGCAGGTCCTATGGATTGGTAGTACGCATCTCTAGCCCCTCAGGCACAGCGGCCCCCATATGCAAATACTTGACGTAAAATAAGTAAATAGTTTGTCTTTGAAATTTTATGGGTCATAAGTTTAACAAATTTGTTGATAAGATAGTTCATAAATATGAACATAGGCTACTTATGCTTGGCGACGTTTAAGTATGTACTTACATACAATTTATAAGTGAGATAGAATTTAGTACGGTCGAAGATTAAGTGGTATTAAAATTACAATTACGTGTAAAGAAACTATGTAAATGTATGTATATGTGAACCATAAACACATTTAAAGCTATGTACATACATGCATATGTAAAGCTACACTTGTGATCAGCTGATCAAGTTAACCCTGCAGTGAAAAGCCAAACCAGTTAGAAAAAAAGCACTAGTTCATTAACTAGTATGTGCCTACCAGTTCGACAATTTCGAAGAACTTAAGCGTTCAGCGACATCTGCCTTGGAATTGCCAAAGCCTAAAATAAAACGCACTTAATTGCTTTTCTTACAAATGTCGGCTTTGGCGTTTATTTATTTATTTCAATTAAAATACAAATAAGAAATTTGAAAATCTAATTGCATTGCAGAAAAATCATACACACGGGAAAAAATGCTTGTGCCATAAAAAAAATTATTAAATTTAAAAATTACAATAAAACCCCTAAATAAAAAAATAATAATTAAATAAAATAAAAAAATTGTCCCTGCTTTTCAACTGGTATGATGCTACTAGTATTTCTACTAGTAGATGCTGATGCATAGCCTGACAATTGACATCTCTTAGGACATCGCCATGTTAAAAATACCAATCGCTAACATTGAAAACGCATAGAACGTGAACTAGTTGGGCTGAAACGCAAACTGGTAGAATTCTAGTTCACAACTAGTAAGTAGCTTTCCCTCCAGGGATGTGACATTTTGACCAGTTTTGGTTATTTTTCGTTGGTTTATTTAATCTTTATAATTTTTTTATAAAAACCTAGCGCATTACATAACCAGCCCCACATAAATCCGCATTTCAAAATTCTTACAAAAATTATGAAAATTCAATAAATTTTAAAAATACACCCAAAAATTATAAAAAATTTTTATTAAAAATTTTTACCAAAATTTTAGGTAAACAATTTTACAGCTTATTAAATTTTAGTAGGTTAAAGTGCCAATTCTAAAATTATGAAAATTCAACAAATTTTAAAAATACACCCAACAATTTTTAAATTTTTATTAAAAATTTTTAAAAAAATTAGGTACGCAGTTTTATAGCTTATTAAATTTTAGTAGGTTAAAGTGCAAATTTTAAAACGCTAGAAAATCGCGTTGATTTTTAATAATTTTATTTCCTGATGGTAGGCATTTTCCTCCATATAAAAGTAATTGTGGAGCATAAGTACTTTATATGGGAGAAAATGCCCAACAACTGAGAAGTAATTTGACCCAACCAAAGAGCATGCATTACTACTGCATAAGCCATACATTTGTTCTATTGAAGAACAACGGAGAAAAGTCAAGATATAGCAAGTACTTAAATAATACCGAAAGAAAATGTATCTTTACCGAATCAGATGCTATGCCTAAAAAGCAAGAACGTGAACTGGTTTTGAACCGGTTAAACCACCGAACCGAAGCATTACTAACCAAACCAGGCCGTTTTTCAACCGTTTTCTGGGATAGAGCGTTTTTGAACCGGCTGCCGAGATAGGGCGATTTTCCACTCAGCCGTCGATATAGCGAATATATTTTTTTTCTTTATTGTTACTGAAATAACTGGTTGTTACAGAAATATTGCAAATATGGATATAGGGGATTCACAAGACGTGTTAACCGTCACAAAATAACTTAGCATTTTTTCAATGAAAAATAATGATTAAAATGATTTTAGAGTATTTCTAAGTACACTGAAATGTTTTTAAACTAATAAAAAGAATATATAATTAGCCCCACAAGCCCCCAAATTTTAACCGTTATTTAACAGAAAAACATGTAAAGCTTAAGATTTTACGTTGGTTAACACGTCTTGTGAATCCCCTAATAGTTTTGTTTTAATTCCCACCGAAACCCCAGTTCAAAGCCAATAAAAACTGCTCTGACGAACCAATTCGAAGCGCTAAAACGAACCGACCAAATTTTTCATGACATTCACGTTCCTGCTAAAAGCGCCTATAATAAGGCAAATTTAAATATTCTAATTTTTCATTTCTCTTGTTAGCTTACCTTAGAATACTTTGTTGTTCGGAAGTGGCCCTTGAAAAAATATTTTTTACTTATTGCTACAGTATTGAGCACAGCGTTTAATTCACTTTGGATTCTGTATTTGCGCGGATGGCTTGCTACTTAATTATGCCAAGTTCAATTCGTGTTAAGTATGCCTAGTTGATATTTTTCTATTAGTTTTTTTTTTAAGCTCTCAACGTACGTTTTTGATTTTGCTAAGTTCTTTTTTGTTTTTGCTTCACTTTTTTTTTAACACACAGGAGAGTGCTGCTTTTCAATCATCTTTGTATATGTATATGATTTTATCATATTTTTATGTTTTAATTTTCGTTTCGCTTTATACACGCACACGCGATGTTCGCCTTGTATTTTTGTTTATTTCTATTTTTATACAATTTTATTTCTTTTTAGGCGCGATGCCGCCGCTGCTTTTGTGACTTTGTTGGTCTCTTTATTTTTTTTTGTGTCGTATTTGTTCTTCGATTTATTTTGCGGTTATTACCACAGCATTTTTTTGCTCTTGCCTTTGGAATAAAAATATGTTGTTGTTGATAAATACATACATATGTACATACTATGTCGATATTCTCTGTTGTTGTTTTTGCATTACACTATTTTTCCACATCGCTAGGCGCAAAGACAAAGTGACAAATCACGTTTTTATGTCACGTTCACTTTACTAGCGCTGCCGCTGATTTGCTTATTCCACTTGATTTCTTGCCTTCTCATTTACTTTTAGACCCGGGGACTATAGTACCTAGTCAAGCCTCTCTTTGGTGAATAAAACCCATCGTATAAAAGCATACATACAGTGACTCAAGGTGCTTTAACCAAAACCATATACAGTGGCGGAAAAATAAAAAGGGGCTCCACATTTTTTTATTGAAATATTCATTAGCATTAAATTTCATAAATTAATGCATTAAGTTTTTACATTAACATTACTGCTTTAAATACCATTAATGCATTAAAAAATTAATGCATTTTTCACAACTCTGGTACATAGTTTTATAGCTCATTAAATTTTAGTAGAATGAAGTGTAAGTTTTAAATTGCTAAAAAATCGCGTTGATTTTTGGCAATTTTCTTTTATCGCATTTTCTTCATACAAAGTATGTTCTACAATTCAGAATAAAAATTATCAAAAATCGACGCGATTTTTTAGGAACTTCTAACTTGCACTTTATTCTACTAAAATTTAATGGGCTACAAAACTGCATACTCAAAAAATTAAAAAGTTGAAGATTTAGAAGCAATTTTGCAAAATTTTTATAATTTCTGCACAAAGTTTGGAATATGAATTTATATGGTTTTTGTTAGATAATGAGCTATACTTTTATAAAAAAAAAAAAATTATCGGGCAGGTTCTGGAATTCCCTTCCGAGTGAATTTCAACCACTGCCCATTTGAATTCAAAGCATAATTGACTCAAATTCACTCGGAATTGCAAAACCTGTCGAAATCTATATATTAATACGCTAACGAAATCCCACACAAATCTATTCCTCCCTACTCCTCCTATGTTTCTCAACCGATTTGAATGATTGTTCTTTTGTTCGAAAGGTGTTTCAAATAGGAGGTGCGCATTTTATTTGTTTTTCCGGTTGTTTATGGTCCGATTTGCTTCAAATTCAAAATACGTGTTACTAACATCAAGAGAAATATACCAGCAAAAAATGGACCGACCCGATAGGCGGCTCCAGAGCCGAAGCAAGTTTCAAGCGGCTAATCAATTCAAAAAATGAATGCCAATTTTTGTAAATTGCACTTGTTATATAAAAACAAATCTGAAAAATCAAAGCTATTTTTTAGCCGGTGAAACTTGCACTTCATGCAGAAAGGCTCTACCTTACGTTTCCATTTTTTTACATTAAATGCAAAAACCCATTCTGTGTGTATGGCCATTTGAAAATTTTCAAGGAAGAACTGTATCTACCTATTTCGAAAAAAAAGTTTCAGGGCCTTTCTACATTTCATCAACGATATGCTTTTGAATACTTTCAATCTACACATTATTTATTATATTTAACATTATGCGCTTTTCAACTCTGGCCAGCATTGATTATATATTGAAATAGTCTTACGAGCCTTATATAATTCATGTCTGATCCATACTTCTTACTTTAGCAATCCTTATTACTTACTTTAGTAAGAATTGGACATGGATTAGACAATAACTATAGACATGAGCCACTTAACAGTATTTTTTGAATGTTGAAATGTGTCGTTATTGCAGAGGACCATCGATATGCAAATATACAATTAGATTTTGTTACAGTTAAATTTTTTACTCCACACTCGTTTGCATACGACATGCATACATGTATATATGTATGTAAATAATTGAAGAAACAGGTGCGATTTACTACTTCTACTTATTGGCCTACTTTATGTTCATTTCATTCAACTTTTGAAGCTGATTCCTCTGCAATTAGAACTTAGAGATAGTAATTATTCCCTAACCCTTTTGTGCAGATTTTTCTCTGTCCACTCTTTTAACTAAGTACTAAAATTTAAGAATTTTGTTAACGCTTCTGCATATTTTGCCAAGAAACTTCTTACTGTTTTTCCTCCAACCCAGTGATCGGATTTTAAAAAAAAATGTGTGTAGTAGAATCTGGGAAAAAATATGGTATATCGCAGGTTTTGGATCAAACTTTGTACAAAAACTAAACATAAAATTGAAAACAATTTAATTAGACTCTAAAAAGTTAATTTTAGTATAATAAAGTATTCAAGATTGAAGTTGCTAAAAATAGCGTTGAGTTTTGGCAATTTTTTTCCTTGACAGTGTAAAGCAGTTCCTCAAGGAGTGCTGCAAGCTTTTCTTTTTATAACATCAGGATGTAGCGAACAAATGTGGCACGTTACAGAAACCGCTACTTGGGATTTGCCGATTTTAACATTTCTCAAGTAAAAGTAAACAACGCTTCAGAAACATAAGATGCACTGAAATTTGCTAATACTTTCACAAAAATCGCCGTTTTTTTTACATTTTCGCTGTTAAGTCTTTTTATAAATCATATATTTTACAATTTAACATAATAAAACCACGTTTCCTATCGAAAAATTTATTTTTGAGAAAATTTATTATTTTACAGTTTATTTTATCCTCCCATTCGGCTTTGTTTACATTTACTTGAGAAATTTCATCGCCGCCGGCAATGCGGAATCTTGTATTACTTATCAGTCTTTTTACCATATAGTGTTTAGTGTTGGACAATTTTTGCTCTTAAACTTAAGAAAATTATGTCGAGCAAAAATAAAACTAGGTACTCAAAAACGCGAATATGTGGTAGATTTCAGACCTTGTGTGGTAGATGTGGTAAACGCTCAAAAAAGTGGCAGATCTACCACAATGTGGTAGAAGTCCGATCACTGTTCCAACCCCTGTTTTAATGAAATATATACATATTTATGTACAGCGTTGTGCAAAACAAAAGCAACAAATTTAGTTTTATTTTTGTTATTGCAGTATTTCTATCGAAAAAAAGGTTTTACAAAAATGTAATGACTAATTATTAAAAACCTCAAAGTGCTTGAAAAGAAATATTTACCATTTTTAGGTGAAAAAAACATGATTAAAAAGCAAAAGCTGGCCCAGGCTACGTTGCATAAAAAAATCAACAGAGCATCGTAAAAACTCTTAATCCCACAACCACTGTAATCTTCGAGCAATTGATGCTAGTAAAAAGGTGTTCGCACGAGGCGATTTTGCGTTCAACTCACGCACGGTTGCGGGAAAAAAACAGAAATAGAATGGCTAAATGTTGGCTGGCGATTAACTTTGTTGAAAGCGATTAGTTGAAAGGCCGTTCAACTGTACATTTATTAATGTGATTTTAGTATTAACAAAGTTGACCTGAACGAAACGGTTTCTTACAAACAACTTTTGAACGGTTTAACGAAATCAATTACCGCCTTCGGATTCTTAACACTGGCAGTAATAAGCATCGTTTGATGGTCTTTTGGGTCAATTTTCTGTGAGCCCGCTGTGGGAGCTGCATTTGTTCCAAGATTCTCGTCAAACTGTTTTGAAGATATAACATTGATCAAACGCAATTTTTTGCTTTTGTTTTGTACAACACTGTAGCTATTGTACTTTATCATACTTCACAAAACACAAAGTTGACACAGTTGTCATTTCAGCAGCGGCAAACTGCGCAGCTCAGCCTTGCACTGCAACGTCGCGTCATCAGCTGAGCACAACAACTATGCTGTACCACCTCCCTCCCAATTAGCAGACGATTAATGCAAAAACAACATCAGGTTAACCAACTTCGTGTGAGCCCCAAGCCCAAAGCCCCAAAGCCACGATTTTCTTTTCGCTTCTTTTAGCACGGCCGCACGGCACAGTTTTTAGCAGCACAGTCAGACAACAGCAAATTGACAATGCACTTGCGCCTTTGGAGCTTAATCCAATTCACATCAATAATGGTTGTTTTTGTGCACGGCCGAAATGCACTAATAACGGCACTGCTTACTTTTTCCCCATGGACAAATGCTGTACATGTTCTCTGCTTTTCATCCACTCCCACTAAATTTAGGTGCCCCGAAATATATTTAATCTTCAACGAAAAATCGATTTTCTGAACTTTTTGTGATTTAATACAATTTAAATGTGCCCCGTGAATGCTCACCGTGCGATATGCGATGCAGACGTTTGTGCAGTCTGGAATTTCGTTCACTGTTTGCAATCGTTTTTCTCCTAAAATTGTTGCATTATTACGTTTCTTGGCTGAATTTTTATGTTAGAATTTTTCTTCACTAAAAATGTGGTTTAAATGCCTACATCAAACAAATTTTACGACTGTAAAATCCTCGATCCGCAATTTTGCTGCACACTCAAACAGGGAAAATAAAAGACTGAAAAACTTTTGGAAAAGAACTTGCATCGATAACCGATAGCCACTTTGACAATCGATTAGCGAGCAGTGTTGCATTTTTAGGATTAAGAGAAAATCCCTAATAGGGAATTTACATGATTCAACTTTCACAGGCGATTAGTTGAACCAAAAGTTGAACGAAAGTAGGGAGCCGACCAACTTCATTGTAAGCGATTAGTTGAAAGGCTGTTTACACCAGGCGATTGCTGCTTTCAACTAAAAATCGCCTGAAAAATCTCCTCATGTAAATTTCCTATAATCGGTTGGTGAAAAAGACTCAAACCGGTTCACTTTCAGCTTTCAGGGACAGTGTTGAGAAATATGGACTGTCCTGACAAAACTGGTAGGGGTTTTTCATGTCTGTAATTGCAGGCATTCCTCCTTTGTCTATTCTGTTTGAAAAAGAGGCCTGCTGAAGCGCCCTACGACAGCCCAATATGATCAGCAAGAAAAATTGGGATCTTCGGGTTCATTGGGAGGTTCTAAAGCCATTCCCGGGTAATCCCGAGTTATCCTTCTACAAACCCTACAAGGTAAGAATTCCTGCTGATAGGCTGCATAAAGCTTTAGCGAGAGACAACACAGGGAGCAGGCTGGCTATTAGGCTACCTAATGGGGCTTTTTCAGGTACTGAACAGGAAAGGGCACTCGCCCTGCTGTCGGTCCACTTTGCGGACGCCATTCCCACCGCCGGGGATACGTTGTTCCGTGCGTTCAGGCCATCCCCACCAGACTGGAAGTTGGCTAAAAGCCTTATAAACCGGCAAACAGTGCGATGGGCTCTGAACTCTTTCGACCGGTACAAGACCCCTGGGGTGGATGGTGTATGTCCGGCGCTGCTGAAGCAGGGCGGGGAGCTCTTAATTCCACATCTTGTGGACATTATGAGGGACAGTCTAGCACTGGCTCACATTCCCAAGGTGTGGGCAGAGGGCCAGGGTTATCTTTATCCCGAAGGCAGGTAAGAGGGATTACTCTCTTGACAAGTCATTCAGGCCGATAAGTCTCACATCCTATATGTTAGGGGCAAGGGAGAAAATTGTTGACCATGAAATCAGGTTTAACACTCTAAAACAAACCCCTCTGCATTCCAACCAGCACGCGTACAGGGTGGGGAGATCCACGGATACTGCGCTGTATGCCCTAACGGAGGAAATACAAGGGATCTTTGAGCGTGATGAGGGTGTGCTCTGTGCCTTCCTCGATATCGAGGGGGCCTCGATAACGCCTCCCATTTGGGAGTCGACAGAGCTCTTAGGAAACAAAAAGTTCAACCAACCATCCGAAGATGGATAGCAAGGTTACTTCAGACCAGGATTGCCGAAACCGAAGTCGGTGATAGCGTCGTTCAAATACAAACGACGAAAGGGTGCCCACAAGGGGGGTATTATCTCCTCTACTGTGGAGCTTAGTTGTGGACGAACTCCTACAGAAGCTTACTAACGAGGGCGTCCGTTGCCAAGGGTACGCGGACGACATAGTGATTATCGCTAGAGTGGAGTTCGCAAGTACTCTCTGTGACATCGTCCAAAGAGGACTTAACCTTGCAAAAAGGTGGTGCGCAGACGTATGTTTAAATATCAACCCTTCTAAGACAGCCATAGTCCCCTTCACGAAGAAACGAAATCTCCAGGGGATGAGGAACTTGACCTTGGACGGGGTCGTAATCAGTGTCGCCACTCCAAGCTTCTGTGGAGGGCCCATGTTGATGCGGTCACCTCTAAGGCCACGAGAGCGATGATGGTGTGCAAACGTCTAGCGGGTAAATCCTGGGGGTGCACTCCGAAGATCCTCAGATGTATGTACACCATGATAGTGAAACCAATAGTGACTTATGGTCCGGTGGCTTGGTATTCCAGGACTACTATGGGACCCTCTCCAAAATTCAACGTCTGGCATGTGTTTGCATTACGGGAGCAATGCGTACATGCTCGACGGCAGCGCTGGTGGTAATGCTGGAACTCGAGCCACTGCACCTCTCAATTGAATAGGCTGCAAAGCGAACCCTCCTTAACTTTGCGAGAGACGGCTTCGGCAAAGGTAAGGTGTTATCATCTAGGAACAGGGAGAAGCTAAGTACCCAGCTCCCCCTGGCTTTGTTCCCCAGGGACGATATTAACAGGGAGGTGGTCTTCAAGAGAAATTTCAGGACCCACACTTATAACAAGGCGATTTGGTGTACCTCTATTATGGAGAGTCACATACGGGCGAGCACAATACAATAGTATACTGACGGCTCTAAAACACCCGCGGGGACTGGAGCAGGCGTGTACGACCCTAGGCTGAAGCTTTCGGTGCCCCTGGGAACTCTCCCTAGCATCTTTCAAGCGGAGGTCTATGCCATCAGTATGTGCGCTGAGATTAACATTCGCAGGAACTATAGGAATGAAAGGATACTTATACTAAGTGATAGTCAGGCGGCACTTAGGGCCCTCTAATCATTCGAGATCAAGTCCTCCTTGGTCTGGGAGTGTGTCGAGAGGCTGAATGCTCTGGCGGAGGTCAATGATATCCAACTAATGAGAGTACCAGTGCACATGGGGGTTGGAGGAAATGAGGAAGCTGATCATCTGGCCAGAACGGTCGCTTCCTCGACCCCGATAGGACCTGAGCCCTTTCTGGCAGTAGGACCCAACACCATAAAGGAAATGACCCGAAGGGACAACAGCAAACTGAGGAAACTGCACTGGCTTGGCACCATGGGCCAACGTCAGGCAAAAAGCTTATTAGGAGGCTACAATCTGTCAAGATGCAGGCTTCTCATGGATCTCCCAAAAGAGAAACGAAGAATTATTACAGGTTTTATGACGGGCCACTGTAGGCACATAAATTAGGTATCTGGTCCAGCGACCTGTGTCGCTTTTGCGATGCAGCCAAGGAGACTCCTCTACACCTTATGGAGTGGGAGGCTGTTGCGCACAGGAGGTATATGAGCATAGGGCACGTCTGGCCAAGAGAGGAGCACATACACTCACTGTCCCCGGGGTCTATTATGAAATTTATAGACACTCTGGGGCTGGTTGATGTGTTGTGATGAGCTAGGAGCACAATAGACCTACTGGTCGCAGTGCCATACCGAACCAATACCTATCTATCTAGGTCACCGAAACAACATCCCAAGGGCAGGTAAAACTCGAGTCATTCCGGTAGGTAGAACCGCCGGTCTGGGAAATTATAAACGTCAAGTGAAAGGAATCGCTATGCACGGTTGCAATATCTTTAATATCCACAGGGTTACATGAGAGATTGTTATTACAAGTTGTAATTTTATTCTCAACAGGAATTATCTAATAAAAATAGTTTGTATATTGAATTCCACCAAAATTCAAAGCGATTCGACTCCCCCTCCCGAGGAATTAAAATTCCACCAAAATCGGGGAATTTTCCTCCTGTTGGCATCGGATTATGAGATCATTTGCTGGAATTTTGATATGAGCATTGAAGTCGGTTTTATTTTCGCTTAAAAATTACTTGTTTTAAATTGTAGTTTTTCATCAAATAGCGGTATAAGGGTGAGCATTTTCTTACCACACTTTTGAATTTAAATAACAAATTTCGTGCAAATTTAGGGTGAATAAATAGTTAAATTTTTATGATAGTAAAAATATTTTCATTATTTATTTATTGTCATTATAAATGCACTCATTTACACAATATACAAAACACTTTCTTTTTAAAGTCAAATATTAAGGCCATTTATGTATGTCATAGTTTTTATATGAGATTCCTGCTATTATTAATAATATAAGGATAGAGAGCAGTGAGTATTAAACGGTATGCACTTTACTAAATAGAACTCACGGCAAAAATTTTAAATATCATCACTGAAGATAAGATTGCACATTTCATTATTCTTCTGGTTCAAAGCCAATGTACGGCCTGCAAGTTTATGTGTGGTTTTCGTGCGAATGTGTTTATAATAGGAGTTCGGTGTCAAATAAACTGATTTAATGTTTGATTGGCTGCAAGTAAGAAATAATGAGTTATTTAAACATGTATTTAATATTCTTCGCAGCTCACTTTAGCAATAAATCCGGCCGTTGCAGTTTCATACATAATTTTACGCCGGAGTAGAAATCGATATCGGCTTGCAGAGTTATGCGCGGTTCGCTAGTCACAGTAAATTTGTTTTCCACTCTTGCGTATGTGAAACCGGCCACCATATATCCAACGACTGCGGCTCCAGTGCTGCAATTGCAAATTATTCGATTACTTTCTATTATCTTGTATATGTTACCGACCATACCCGATCTTCGGACAAACTGTTTTGCCTAGGCTAAACCAGATCAGGGGCCACAGTATTTTTGCGCAGAACACCTTCCCGCGTAGGTCTTCTGCCGCACTTAAATATAAAAATATCCTCATCCAACTTATTTCCGCATTGGAAGGATATATTGGATCTAGCTGGAAATAGTTTAGCCTTGGAAAAACTAGTTTGTCCTAAGATCGGGTTTGGCCGGCCGGTAACATATATATTGCACCAGCATTCACTTACTTCTGATTGATTTCCGTATTTGCATTGCGATTCCACAAACTCAACTCTACTTTGCCGTTCAGGTCGATCGAGCGGGTGCCTACCACTCGCATATAAACTGTCGCACCAGACGAAAGTATAATATAATGCTCGTGATCCTCCGCCAGAATTGTTGCTTGATATGCCGGCGTTGATTCAGAGGCAGTGCCACTCCAAACGTGGCCCATTAGCTCACCTTGGCCGGTGAAGAAAACAAGTGGTCGTAAATGTACCCCTTGTACACTGATTTCCATCCCAGCGGTAGCAGGACTGTCGTCTAAATCATTTTCTGCCTCGTCTTCAGAATTAGCAACAAAAGACGTGAGCCCAGTAGTGTAAATGCCAATCTGTGAAAGTAAAGAAATAAGCGTTTAATAAAAAGTACGAAAGAGTATGTGTGTCTAAATTTTTACCTTAAAAGTGCTAAACTCCTCTTTTCCTGCACCCAGCAACAGTTCAACAGTGCCACGTTTTAACACACCCTGATAGATCTCCTGCACACTTAATAACGATTCGTTGAATGCTGGCGTCAGCGAGAGCTCTCTGGTCAGAACAGTTGTAAGCCCTTTCTGAGCTATTACATTGTAATTATTTACTTCGGGAAGCTCGGCTAGGCAAGAACTCAATAATGCTTTAAAACGTGGACACTTATCGGAAATCATGCGGAGCTTTTGAATGACGAAAGTCTTAATTTCAAAGTGGCGATCATTAGAGTTCAGGTAAAGCAGAAGTTGGCTCAACTGCTCCTTGGTTGGTTTGAGCGCAAGCAATATATCCAAGGCAATAACACGTGCCGAGGAGTCGTATTTGCGCTTAGATTGGTAGAAAATCTCTGCTAGACTGCGACGATGCTTCTCATTGAAGTTCACAATGGGGAAAGTTTTCAAAGCCTGCAAAGCAGCAACCGATTCGGCTACTTCGCCCGTTAAAGCGCTGTTGAAGAGCATGGGCAATGTGCTTACATCTTGGAGATTTTGCAACGCTCGTATATAAATTAATTTACAGTCGATCTCCTTACAATCTTCATTGAGATTTTTCGATATGAATTGACGTACATTGTGTAAGAGCGCGTCATTGGGATCGAAACTAGATTGGCGCGTTAGAGCAGCGACTGTCTGGACCACAGTATCGCGAAGCTTTTCATTAGGAATTTTTTCATTTTCTGTTTTAGGTTGTAAACGTTCGAACAGATCTTCGATGACAGTGCGTTCAGGATGTGAGCCAATAGCGAGCGATTGCAGATATTGCTCCAGGAGTTCAGCATCGTCTTCATTATCGAATTTGTATAACTCAGATATAGCATTATGAGCATCACTTGATTGAACGGCCGCAAGCAGATCGATTAATGGTTTAGCAGAATCCTTACGCGCTTTAAGGATCTCAACATATTCCTCTTGCTTGGTTATGCGAGCCAATGGCAGAAGTTCAGCAATAGCCAGAGCCAGCGATTGCTTCCCAACATGCTCGTTAGAAAACTCAGAGTCAAAGTTTGCAATTCGCTCTTTCAGCTGTAAGCATGTGAATAAAGGAATTGAACAAATAATATCACATACTAAAATATTCTTACAGTGCTGTCCTTAATTTCGCTAAGCGCGCCATCTACGTCTGCATCGATATCGAAAACGCGATACCACTCGAGCAAGCTTTTTATTGCTTCATCTAGCGTATTAAACTTCAGCTGCTCCACTATGTCGGAACTCTCTACGAGATGTGTTAAGCTGAATCGCGAGCTTACTTCACTTCCCACATCAGGTTTGGATGTTAGTGCAGTGCGATGCTTTTCCGAGGATATGGCTTGCATGAGCGTGCCCACAGCACTTAGCTCATACTCAACAATTTCTTGCGACACTTGCGAAATACCTAAAGTAAAAGACCATTTAAAAAATATACATAAATCAAACGAATATTATTGATTATTGATTAGCTAGCTCTCACCCAACGCCTTCTCTGCCCTATAGTTTACTTTCAAATCCCAATGTGAGCAATCTGTTTTGATCTTCTCAATTCTTGTTGATGACTTAACTGCATAGAATGCATTGCACTTGCCAGAGACATCTACCTCTGTTACAGGACCATTCTGATATCGCAATTGCAAAAGCGACGCAAAGGCGCGTTCCAAATTCAGAAGCGATTGATCACGAGATGTATGTGCTATAACTTTGCTGGGCTTTCCCTCGACGAGACTCACGTAGAAAGGACGGTCTGGTATTTTTGTTATTTCGGCATTGATACTTGATTTGCGGGCTTTTGCAGGAGCGCTGACCTTCGAATATGTGAAGTAAACCTGCAGAAGTTGAGCTTTTTCACTGTTCCAAACGGAGTTCACCTTCAACTGGGATCGAAATATGTAAGTGGCTTGCTCAGTGCTGGAACGCTTTAAATCGTGCATAGACACGGCATTGGTCAGCTCGAAAAGGTGTTGACTTTTAGGTGGAATAAGGAAGGCAGTGTTTGATAGGACACAAGGCACTGGAAAAAAGTAAAGAATTCGTTAATAGTAAATATTTTCTATGGTAGTGATAAAACAATTCTTCTTTATACTGCAATTTCTTAACACGTCATTAGCATATACATATTTTCTTTAAGGCAGCAACTTTGAGTAGTTCGAGCAATTTTCTTATCTTTTAATCTGAGCTGGTGTCCCGTCTATAGGCTTTCTGATAATAAGACAAAGCAAGAATAGCAAATATGTAATAATACAATCAACTTTCTCCAGCATAAGTTGCTTTCATAACAGCGTTGGGGTCGAAGGTTATCAAGTTTGAATGTGTATTTCAGAGAAGCAGCATTTCACTGCATGAAGAGCCACATTTGTATTGTACCTACTTAAATGCATCCGGTGGGAAGATCCAAATTATTGTCCATAGAGAAATTTTTAGTCTCATTATTTCCACTATGACTAACTTTGTAGGTACCATTGCTTTTATTCGAATACCTGTTTTCATACAGGTGCTTTTGCGCCGACGAAGGTCGTTAATCTCGTCATTCATTTACAAAGTTTATAGACACATTTCCTTCCCTAATGTATTTAGTTTTGTGTCTTGAATTATTAATAAGTTATGCCTATCGTATGTAATTACCACCTTCTTTACACTTGTCTCTTCCGTTGGTCAACCACGGCCCACATCCCCTCTTCCAACAACAGGTATTTGGTCTACTTACCCAATATGCAAAAGAGTATGCATAGCGCCGGTATAAACAGTTGTTTACAATTCATCCTAGATGCAATTATGAATCTATTCGTCTATAGTTTGGAATTAAAGTGCTATGCTAGCTAGTTCAGGTGACGTTCCATAGGTTTATCAGCAAAAAATCGTATGGATCCGTGCACTAAAGAAGTCAGTCTTAAAGCTTTGCGGGTGATGGAAGACAAATCAAAATCAGTGTCCGCGGCAGACGTCAACGTCGTCGATACAGGCAGAGACGGCGCTGTCTTGAAAAGTTGTCCTGCCAGATCGGTGCTTTGGGGAAACGTAAAAGTCAAATGAATTTGCGGGGGAACCCAATTTTGCTTGATAAATTACTTGAAACAAGTATGGGCTATTAAAAAAATAGAACAGAATAGTTACTCTATGTTGGCGGTCTTTAAAAATACAATATTTAAATCTTTAATTTTGTGGTTTCCAATTTATTAATGTATGGCAGGTCGTTTGCGCTGAACAATGACAAATAGGTGTCGCTGCTCAGAAATAAATTTGCTATCCCCCAAGAGATGCCACTGAGATCATTAAAGATGGCGTGTGCACACACTTGCAAAAGTGATAGTCTGGCAACTTTAGAAATTTGTATAACGCCGGAAGCGCTCTTAGAATATTTTGCTGAAGTTTTATTAATAAAAAATGATTTCAGTAAACTTATCAAAATCGTGCAAAAACTCTTGCCCGAAATGCATACAGATGAGTGTTATTTAAGAGTACAACAACAACAATAATATCAACTGCTGAGCCAGGTCGTAGAATCTAATCGTTTTCCCACAGAGCAAGTTCACAGTCCAACATTTTCTGATGGCACTGGCCTATTCGGAAATAACACAAGTATTTTTCAAAGCAAGTATTAAGTCCATTTCCTTGCCGTCTCAACTGAGTCTTGCAAATAGAGAACAACCGATTAAAATATTAAAAAAAAAAAATCTTTCTGTCGATGTTACATACAACTGCTTTTGAAACGCTCATCGCAACGTAGGTATTAAACCATGAATCAATAGTAGATACATAAGCAACGTGAATTGAGTGACTCATTAAATCTCTGATATTTATAGTTTTTGTTCTCTTTTTTTTTCGAAATCTATGGCAATTTGTAACAAAGTTGATACAAAAACTACAATATTGATGAATATGCCTCTAATTAATGTTAACTGACCGCAAAGTGTCGTATTTAGACTCAAATGTGGCCAACAATTTTACATACAATATCAAATATCTACAAACAACTCACTGCTTAGTTCTCACAATTGCCAAATTCTGAAATAGCCAGTGACATAAACCGGCATTTCGTCTGAAAATTTACTCTTAATCTTTTTAATGGCAAAATAAAAAAAATAAAAACTATATCAACAAAATAGAAGTAAATAAAAATATTGATGGAAAGATGAGAACATGAAGAAACAATGTACGAAAACCGCAAAGCTGAATCATCAAAAATGAAGTACATTTGAGCGCGACTCACTGAAGTCAATGCACATCAAATTTATGTTACATTTGTATGTATGTATGTATGTATATTAGATATTTATATTTGAATAGTTGTTTGAGTTAGAGTCATGCCCGAAAACTGAAATGCATGATAATGTTTAAACAAAAAGGAAACTTAACAAAAAAACACAAACGAACTAAAAATCTCATACATATACAACTATATTTGAAGTCGGGCGGGAGGTAATTGGTGGCCATTCTTTCATGCCTACACCTCTGGTGAATACTATGCACTTACATATGTACGTACTATCCGGATGTGTGCATGTATCATCTTCTACTTGAAAGTAAGCATTGCGTATCAGAGATTCAATTACATAGTATTTTCTTAATGTACATACATACATACACACTTTTGTACATATATATTTGTGCATACTTAACTACTCCAGTGGATGGTTTATTCATATTTGAACAATTTTAGCGTTAAAACGTTGGTTTAGGCGAAAAAGTACCGAAATTACTAATTTTTCATTTTCACTCAAAGAAATCATAATTGTCTTTTTTTTTTGTTTTAAATAACTTAAGTTATCAAATAGAATGTTCATATTAGATGCAATGCAGGTTGACATCAAATGCAATATATCTGTGAAGTTTCAAGAGTGTGCCACCAAATAAAAAATAAAAAATGGCATGATGCCGAATATCTGTCACTGCTATTTTGTAATTTTGGAAATTTTAGATTTTTTTAATTGTAATAATTTAAGATAACTCAAAATGTTAAAATTAAACGGCTCTTCTTGCCAAAATGAACGAATCAAGTGTAAAGAAACTAGTGTGCCACCAAATGAAAAATATTACATTGAATAAAAGCTGACTATGATTTGAGAAACTAAAATTCCATTTATAAAATTTTTATTGGCACACTCTAAAATTTCAATTACATTCTTGTAAGACTATAGTTCATTCTATAAAAAAAACCCATACAAATCCAAATTTCAAGCTTTGATCAAAAATTATCAAAATTCAGCGAATTTTGACCAAAGTTTTATACTTTTTTTACGAATTTTTGGAAGTTTTGTGTATGTAGTTTTATAGTCCATGCAATTTTAGACTACAAAAAACCGTTAATTTTAGGCATTTTTTTTTTGTTGACAGTGTTGTCCATAATTTGTATGGAGGAAAATGAGTGACACCGTCAACAAAAAAAAAAAAAATTGCCAAAAATTCGTAAAAAAAGTATACAATTTTGGTGAAAATTCGCTGAATTTTTATTATTGTTTCGTTTGGAACAAATGTACCACATTTAAAGTAGTTCTCCATTCTCCTGTCGTCCTTTTATTCCAAACCCTCTCCATCGCCATGACTCAGGTTGATTTTTTTTTACTGTGCCTAAATTCCTACGAGCTGAGAAGAATCGCAGAAAAAACAGTCGTTATAGCCGGGTTGCGGATCGTAATAATTAAGGAAACTGTGATGAAAACTGTCGCCCCAATAGTGCTAGAAAGATCCTTGCCCCGCCGGACTTCAAATATAGTTGTAAATGCATAAGCGCTTAATTACACAATTTCATAATTCTTGAGTTGATACTTAAGGTTTCAAAGTTTATTTTTTTGCTTTTTAGTTCGTTTTTGTTCTGTTTTTTTATTGGTTCATAAAAAAAAAAATTATTTTACAATTTTTAGTGATGGATGAACCCAAGACGCAATAAAAACGGTTGAAGCAATAACAAAACATTCTATGTTCATTTTCTGACATTCGGCTATCTTATAGAAAATATGTATGTTGCCCATACTTCTACTTTGTGTACGTCTTAAAAATGCAAATTTTTAAAATTTTAATACTCACCGTTGCTAATACTCATCGTTTATGACTGCGACGACCATTTTCTAAAAAAACTACAAAAAGTATTATTTATTGCTTAGCGATTATTGCAATTATTCACTCTACATACATGCGCTGGCTGCTATAGTTATTAAAAAATGTTTTAGTTTTCGTACTTCTGGAAATTAGCTTCACTCAACGCAAGGAAATATCTGTCCCAGGTTTGGTAGAAATGGATAAATCGGTTACCGAGAATCATAAGTGGGTGGAGGCATAGTGTCAGGAAGAGGGGCGGAAAAATGATTAAATCTACATATGCAAAGTATTTTGCGTTGATGAGAACCCTAACGGGACTAAACAAGAGCGGTATTCATCTAAACCGATAACTTTCTCAGGCAGATATTCTTATAAATTTAAGCACTCTGTTACATGACCGCCCCACACTCTCCTTTCGTTTACACTAGCGACAATAGTCGTGTTTTCTTTGGTTATGAGGATCCCGATTATTGCCCAAGAAAACACAGCTAGAGTTGTGACAAAGTTTTATTCAGTGGAATCGCGGTTTATAATGGATTTATAAGGTTTGATGAATACCCTTAATGTTTCCAGTTTTGACTTGTCTCTATCAAGTGGAGCACTACGTAGCTTAAAGTATGAACATAACCAAAATGCTGAGCGAACGTCGTCGGACGAGCGATGCCGTAGGGTGATATTCGTCACAACATTTCGCCCAATTCTGTTTTACGAAAACATCGTCAGCTGAATGAGAAATAAAAAATATAAAAAATACAAAATCGAAAACAGGAATCCCTAAATTTTCCCATTCTGCTGCTTCCTAATAATTACACAGGTCCACAAAAAAAAAATCGACGAAAGGTTCCTTTGACCAAACCTAGTCTATCAAATGTTTTTGGGGTCGCTGAACACGAATCTGAAGTCTGTTTTACTCCATCACGTCTAGCATTTTTCCTAACCTCAAAAATTACCTCGGATTTTCTCTGTCACGTCTGTCTGTAATAGACTAGGTTTGGTCAAAGGAACCTTTCATCGATTTTTTTTTGTGGATCTGTGTTATCAGCTAAAAACGTGAAGGAGCGGAGCAATTTTTTCAGTGACAGCTGGCAGCTTATTTTGAGACTGGCGGCAGCGGAAAAATTACAGATAAATCTACTATCGCGGAATTTCGTCAGACAAACTTCGTCGTCGCTTTGGCTGTGTGCAATCTCATACACTGCAGCGTGTTTTAATATTGACAGCGAACTATTTTCCGACGAAGTTCGCTCAGCCATTTGATTCTATTTAAACTTTTACGATGCAAATACATATTTTAATTAGTTTTAAGTACTTTTGTTTTATAGTCAGTCATAACTTATTGTTCAATTGACGTTATGATATTAATAAATAAATACAAATAAATAAATAAATGTGTACAGAGGTATAAAAACGATGGTAAGCGCCAAACTGGTCACACCAGTCACATGAAGCCCCTACAAGGGGCGTCGTATATATCCCAGAGTCCTAGGCAGTGATGGAAAAATAGGTACAATTGTACTTTTTCTGATCTTTTTTAGTTTGAAAATGTATTCGGGCATTGCATCGTAGAAGATTTCATTTCAAAAAGTGCTTACGAGTACATTCGACAAGACGAAAATTACTATATTCGCAGAAATAGCTTAGTCCACGTGGTTTGGAGCAGATATATTATAGAAAAACGCTACTTAATCAAAATTGAAAGTTAAAACAAGATATGAAACTAGCTATTTGACAGTGCATCGCCTGCGATAGCTCGCAACCGATATCGCCTGCTATCTATCTCCTGCGCTTGCGATGAGCGGTATCCACAAGCGATTCATCGCCGGAGATCTATCGCAGAAGGTGAACAATCGCTAATGGAGACAGCACGTAATGCGCAAGCGCAGATTTATGCTTTGCTCGATCCCAGACTGGCAGTACGGGTAGGCTGGTTCCTAAATAT